CCCGCAAATAGTGCCGTGTCTAATTCTCTCTTCTTCTCTCCCACCTCAAGTTCAAAGCACATGCTTCAACATACTACCCCTACTTGTGTGAAATTATGCAGTTTGACCTGATTCCTGAACTCCGAGCTGTTCTGCGGAAGTTCTTCCTAAGAATAGGTGTTGTGTATAAAATATGGATTCCAGAAGAACCATCACAGGGACCAGGAACACTGTCACCATTGTGGTAGCCTTGGCCCCGCCATGAGCCGCTGCTGCAGCTCTGCAGGTTTACCATGCCACCTCTGCCTAGCACATCTCATCAAGGGTCAGACAACAGAAACAGGAGTCGGCACCTGGGAGCTCAGAACAGCCTGGATAAAGATGGCCTCTCCACTGGTCCCATCAGAGTCTCTGACTAAGGCGTTGTGGTATTCATTAAACTGTTGCATACCCAGTCACCACAGTAGGTGGGGAGTCTGTTTCATCTCTGTCATTCCATTTTACTGGTTGAACTGTCCGTCCAGTTTGTCATGGCCCCCACCGTCATTTTCTAGCTATGTCCCCTGATCGGCTATTAATGTTTCATCAGAGGAAGTCACTCCTGTTGAAAGTACTGAACATAGCTGTATAGGTTCGTGATTATTAGAGAGTATATTAATAAAATTTCTTGTAATGGCTAAATGCCACCTAAAATATGCTGGGTTTTTTGTTGTTTGAGTGTGTTAGAGAAGTTTGAGTGTTTTTTGTCAGTTGTGAGTCAGCTGTAATTAGGTTAGTTTGGGGAAAGATAGGGGAAAGAAGATTTTTTTTTTCCTGTTTTGTTTTGCTGATGTCTGAGTGATTTTTTTAAAGTCTTTTACAAAAAAAATGTTATTGAAGATTTGATTGAAAGCAGAGTTTAGTGAATAAGTTAGAATTAAGAGCTTGCAAGGTTTAAAAAATTGTAGTGCCTCCTGGCTCTCCCTGTTTTAGTACTTGGGGAGAACAAGTCTATAGGAAAAAAGTAAACAATTTAATAAAGATGATTAGCCTTCCTTGAAGTAAGTATTTGTGGATGGGTATTCAATTAAAATTTCCAGAATTCATTGTCCATCTCACACACTTTGAAATCTAATATATGAAGTAGAAATGAAAATGAAGTAGTAATTTAACAGAGTTAATTTATATTTAAGTTTACCTCAGAATAATGAGGGTACCAATGGTTAGCATCCCAGCTTCGCACAATCCCCATTAAAGGGCCCTCGAGAAGGGGGAACGTGCTGTGCGGGAGAAGGCGTGCCCCTGTGCACCTCCTCAGCCACACGCCATGGCTTGAACTGGAGCGGACCCTCACTGTGGTGGGGCCAGCACAGCTGAACTGTGACTGCGGAGGGAGGTATCCTGTGCCCAATGTTCCAGCTCACTTGAACCTAGGAGCTGAGTCCTTTGGAAAGATTTGATTCTGGGTTCCTTATTATGTTAATGACGGTGCAATACTCTTAACTGCAGTAGAACTGAATGAGGATGCGGCTTCTATAAAAGTGGGCCATATATAGATAGGGCCTGAAGCCTGCAAGCAGTAGATTTGGAAACTTAATTTATTCTGAGTCAGTGAGAAAGAGAACACATGCTTCATTCTCTGCCCGCTCATCCGCTGCCTGGAGTGGCATTCAGGTTAGCAAAAGTGTTACAGAGTTCTTCCAACATTCAGACTTCTACCCACGCCCTTTAGTCCTGTGAATTGGGTTGTATTGATGTCAACTCTGGTGCCTTAGCAGTTAGTAAGTTGGGAACCTATCTATAAAATCCAATATTTTTTCTTTATATAGAAGGATTTCTGGTGCTTTTGTTTACTAAAGGATCGATTTCTTAAATTGTTTTTGTTTTTAACAGCCTTGAGGAATGCTTGGTTTGGGCCAGTAGTACTCTGTCCACTCTTTTCTGCCCCCCAAAGTATTTTAATTTCTCTACCAAAGAAAAAGAGCAGGTTTATTAGGTCTTTAGGTTATTTACATACATTAGGGGAGAAAAGCTTTCTCAAGCAGGAAGGGACGGAGAGAGTATTTTCTGTGAGTAGAAAGTGTTAGCACATTTGAATGACATGTCCTGGGATCCTTTAAACTACAGCTTGGACCTACCTTCTAGGACTTGCTCCCTGGTACTGTAATGTGTTCCGATCTCAACAAGCCCATCATCTCCATCGATGTTTGTATTAAAGGCATAAATGGAGAACACAAGTTTTGTTCAGAACATATAGGTTTCATGCAGCTGCAAACCTGGTTAGAGATGTTTTCCTTTCCCTCTGAGGGTCTTCTGTGACATTTTCTTCATCAAATGTGACTGCAAGACTTTTCCAGTATATGCCTTCTCTTTAATTTTTGCCTCCTCTTGCAGAATAAGAGATGTGTTAGTGCATTTGGTTACTTGCTGAAACTTGTCAGATTTGAATTTCTTTTTAACATTGTCTTTTAAGAGATTCGATTTTCTGAACAAGGCATCTGAATTGTACCAGCACAGAGCATTTGAAAACTGGACGTAAAACTATTTAGTGTCATTTTCTTGGTGGTGGACCGTGATGTACAGAGGAAATTCCTGGAATAAGCCATTTAGCCTAAATTCTATTTTGTGACTAAATCTACCCTAGCTCATGTCAATGTGGCTTGTGCCACTCAGACACTAGAAAAGGAGCCAGGACATCACTTACTAACAGAGCCAAGGAGAAGAGTGAAGCATTTCCAAGGCCTTACTTCTCTCTCAGAATGCTTTAAGTGTTGATTATATGTGCTGGGTCTCTAGAGAAGTTTTCCTTTGTTACGATACTGCTGCTTCAAGCAGTTTTGTTTTTCTCATTGTCCTTTAGGGAAATCACCAGCTTTGGCATTTTAACAACAAACAGTGAATGGGAAATTTTATTTCTAATAATGCATCTTTAGAGTAAAGTACACCTTTTCCCTGTACCTCCTTGCGTACAACCAAAGAACTTATGTGATGGAAATTGTATAATATTTCAGAACACAACATTTTCCTCTGACAGGTGACTTTTTTACAAAATGTAAAAAAAAAAAAAAAAAACCGTTTTCTGTTGTTCTTTTGTGACTATGGCTATCCCTTTAGTCGTCTTTACAGTTATTCAAAGAGCCTGCTGACAAATACTAGAATAACCATCTCATTCAAATGTTTGTTGTTATGATGCAAACAGATACTGGGTTCTCTAGAAGCTGGATCCTTAATACTGCATTTTCTGAATTCTGTTCTAATATTTGTGTTAAGGTAGACATAGCTTGTACTCACATGAAATCCTGGAGTTTTGCTACGAGCAGCTTTGTAGTTTGGAAAACAAAGAAACCAAAGCTGAATATTTAAAGCAATGAGTGTGTCTGGAAAGCCTTGCTCTCAATAAAAGGACATTCATCAAAGGTGTAGTTTTTCTCAGTGTTCTAATTTTTAAAAAATTTTATCTGCATTTGTGCATCAATATTTCTTTATGTGCAAAGTGTATGTTTTACCTCCTTAAAATGCCTAAAAGTTAGTTATTAGCTACTTTTGTTTAATCTATACACAATGATTAAGTGCATTTAATATTGGTAATTTAATGAAAAGCATTCCTTGCCCAATGGATGTATACATTTTTGAAAGAATAAGCAGAATTATATAATATGAAATGCTATGTAAAGTTTTCTATGTAAAAATATTATGTATAATACTGTTAAACTATCCCATGCTTTAATCAGGTGGTAAATCAATAAAGTTTTAAAAAGTAACGTTGTTTTTAATGTAGTAGTAATAGGTAGATTTCAAGCCATAATTTTGGGTTTGGTCTTATGGCAGGTATAAACTAGTTCTCCATTGGTATTTAGTAAACGTAATTATTAATTGCGTATTTATTAATTGGTATTTAGTAAACGTAATTATTAATTATTAAAAACATAATTATTTACTGTAGTTTTTAATTTTAAGTAAAAATTAAATTCCATTAACTTTTCCCCTCCACCTCGTGAAAAGGGGAAAACCATCCAGTCACAAGAAAATTCTTATTTAGCTCTTGATACACTTTAACTCATTAGTTAATTTGACCATTGGATTAACTCTCGAAATCTCTCTTGCTGGCAGTAGAGGCAAGATTACAGAGGATGACACAGAGCAGCCCACCAGGCACTGAATGGGAGGCAGTTCTAAAGTTTCTAAAGTTGTAAATCATTATTGTGCTTAAACTAGCCCACTGCAGAAGTTGATTAATGCACCCTTGTCTTCAATTTTCTGGAGTAAAACTGCTCTGTGGTGCTGCTTTTCAGGTGCTTCCAGTGAGGAACAAAGGGCCAGTCCTTTCTTTTGGAAAAGATTTCTCAAGCATCTTTATCTCTTCAGAACAGCTAGTGCCCAGGGACTGCCAGCCAATGGTTTTCAGTTCTGCCCCCCATACTTACTTGCAACACTTGGTGATTGATTTCTAATTCTGGAACATTTTCTGATGTTACTGGCCTCTAGTAGGTAGAAGCCTGGGATGGTACTAAATATTCTTTGAGATACAGGACAGCCCCCAGCCCAGAGAATCGCCGGTCCCTATGTCATGGTGCTGAGTTTGAAAGCCCTGAGCTAAAGTGACTTCCTCTGTGTCTAACTAGGTGTCTTCAGCCTGATATTGGAGGATCTAACAATTCACCTGTGGCAGATATTTTCAGCTTGCTTTGGCCTCCCTGTCAAAAAGAAGTCACTTCTGATTACCTATTTTCTGATGGAGGGCATGTTGAGGTCACTGGTTGAGGAAGAGCCAACTCAACCTTGTGCAAGTTCTCCTTATTTAAGCATTTTAAATGACGATTTTGAAACCGCACTGCATTTGCACCCTGCCAATAGACCAGAACACGTTTTAGGCAATTATGTTTCCTTCAGGACCAGAGGGATTCCCTGGAATTTTTGCAAACCTGTGTATCATACCTGTTTTCTTAATAAAGCTACTAAACTGCCCTTGAGTTAGTGATTTGTGTCTTATCTTAGCAGTGTCTAGATTAGTAAATGGAAATTAGCACCAAAAGCCTGCTCACCTCTGAATTCTGCAAGGTGCTATCCTTGATTGAGGTGCCCAAAGGGTTCTGGTTTGAAATTCCATAGTCCTGAATTCCCTGGACTCCTGCTGGGTCACACTTCCTCTTCCCCTCTACCAAAGGAAGTGGGGGAAAAAACTTTCTTCCTCCTAATAGACTTCCCTAGTGATCACCTGAAATGACAAGAAGCCATTTCAACATTGCTTAGTCTTTGCTTTTTTTCCCTTTTCCTTTCTGTGATAGCACCTCACAGCAGAGCAATAACAGTAATAATGACCATGTATAGGATTCTTAGGCATTTGCTCTGCACACATCATTCCTTTTAATTCTTACTACCATCCTACAAGGCAGTATAGAAAATATTTTCATACCACCCCACTTTTTATAAAAGGGTACCTGGGGCTCAGAGAGGTCAAGGAATTTGCCTAAGGTCACACAGCTAGATTCAAAGCCCTGTAGTCTGGCTCTAGATCTTGCCTCTTAAAACACTGCCCACATCTCCTTTAGGTGCTTGAGAGCCATTATCTCTTGTCTCATTTCCTCGGCTTCCTTGATGCTCCCTGGGGCCCCTCCCTAAGGGGTGTCACACAGGGAAGGGCCATTTGATGCGTGGATAGCAGACAGCTGTAGGGCCTATGGGCACCGGACCCACAGAGCAGAGAACACAGCACAATAGCCTTGTAGGCTTTGGGGAAGAAATGCAAATACAGGTTCACAAGTAGTAACGGTTAAATATGTAAATGTAACATGTCAAGTGAGGAAGCATTCCCATAAAGCACATTCTGTCCTCTTCCGTTGAGGGACAAGTAATACCTTGGTACTACTCTGAAGTCTGCCTTGCCTTCTCTAACTCCACCTGCCATCCTCCATGAAGCCTAAGCATAGCTCATTCCCGCCTCAGAGTCTTTGCTATTGGCATCCCCTCCTTCTAACACACTGGCCAGGGGCCTCCCTGGTGGCGCAAGGTGTTAAGAGGCAGCCTGTGAAGCTATCCTCAGCCTCTGCAGCACAAGTTCGACCCCGGGCTAGGGAGCTACCCACATGGCGCAGCAGACCTCTCCTGCCTCGCCCACTGCTCCCCTCAGCAGTGTATTTCACTCAATCCGCCTGTTCTGCTCCCCACTCTGTCTCTGGTGGGTCCTCTCACCCTCCACACCTCTGGCCTGTACCCCAGCTCTTGTATGCATAAATTAAAAAATAAAAAAAAATCTGTTTAAAAAAAAAAATAAAACACTGGCCAGGCTGAGCTTCCCACAACTGTCCTTGCTGCAATTCAGGTTGTCACCTCTCCAGAGGTCTCCCCCAGCCATCCAGTTTCCCTCCCAAGTCACTGCCCGTTGTGTTGCCTGTTCTGTCACTGCCTTTCCACAGCTCTCATCAGGACCTGACATCATCTGGGATTATTTATTCCCCTTCTCCCTCTAAAGCGTAAGCTCCAAGAGGGGCGGAGAGTTCTCTTCCGAGGCGCTGCTAACTTCCGGTAGCTCGAGCTGCAGTCACGTGGAAGCCTTACTCGGCCGACCTCAGGCCCGGCCGCCCAGGCAGCCACGCGCCGAGCCCGTCGGTTCGGGAGCGCGGGCTCGGGGCGCCCTTCGGAGCCGCGCAGCCCAGGCCCTGCCGCCGGTGCCCCCAGCGCCCGCACAGACGCGCGTCGCGATTGGCCGCTCGAAAGTGGGTGGGGCCGAGCGCCCCTGGCCCCGCCCCGCGGCCTCGGCCCCGCTCGCGCATGCGCTCCGGCGGCAGCCTCGCCGCCGCGCCATTTTGCCGGGGTTTGAATGTGAGGCGGTGCGGCAGCAGGAGTGGGTAGTGCCGGCTCCAGTCCGCGGCTGAGATTTCCTTGTCCGTCCCCGTGTTCCACGAGGTAAGACGCGGGCTGTGCGCGGCCTAACGCGGTGGCCTCTCGGGACCTCGCTGTGGGAGGGACGAGGCGCTCTTAGCCCTTCTGAGCGCTGGGAAGCAAGGACCGCGCCTCTGGGCGAGAGCGGAACGTGCGTCTGTGCCCCGGGCAGCGCCCTCCGCCTGGGGTTGGGCGCCATCCGGCGGGTCTGGTCTCCTCGCTGGCGCCCCTGGCCTCAGGCCTACACCGGGGCGGCCCCGGGCCTGTGAGGGGCGAGGGCCGCCCAGGCGCGGCCTGACGCGAGCGGCCGGAGGGCCCGCCTCTTCCCCTCGAGCGCCACGCTGATTGGCCGCGCGGCCGCCGCGCCGCTGGACAAGGCCGCCTCTCATTGGTCGCGCCCGCGCGTCCGTCCTCGGCGCTCCAGGCCGCCCGCAACGTGAGTGGAGCGCGCCGGCGAGGCCTGTCTGGCCGGACTGCGGGGCTGGGGTGGGGGCGCCCCGCCACCGCGGCGCGTCGGGAGCCCGTTTTGCTGAGTTTGGGAGAGTTTAAATGCGAGTCCATGCGCCTACCCAGTCGTGTGGGGTCCCCCTCTTTGCGGAGACGCTGTGTGGGGGTTGCTCGGAGCTTGAGAATGGGAACGTCGGGGTTCGGTCCAGGTAGCGCTTCACCTGGGAGCCGACCTCGGGGCTGGGGCCGTCACCTCCCCGAGCCTCCGTGTCTGAATCTGCAAAACTGGGCTGAAAACAGAATCTAGCCCTTGAAGCGGCTTGGGGTCCACCGAGTTAGTGCCGAGGTCTGCAGGATCCTGCCTGAGGTGCCCATTCTCCATCTCCCCGTCCATCTCTTCTCCTTAGCCTCCATGACCGTGTCGACCGGACCTTTCTCCTCCTTAAATGGTGCAAGCTGACGCCCACCATCAAGCGTGGGGATGTGCCTTTGCTTCGCTTGGAGATTAGCAGCGTCAGAATTTTGCAAGGCGGGGTCTCTGCCTTCAAGTTTCTCTCGCCTTAGGTCTTCCTTGACCAGCCTCACTAAAGGCCGCTTTCCCTCAGCTAGTTTTATTTACTTCATAGCACTCGTCATTTCGGGAGTTACTTCTGCTCCACTTGGCTTTCTCAGTCACTGGGGTGTAAACTTTGAGATCAAGGATCTTAGTTTTAGAAGGTTGATGTCGGTCAAGCAGTTCATTTATCGAGAAGAATTTGTGATTTAGATAAGTCTATCATAACTGATAGACTTGGTACATGTGCTTTTATTCTATAATTGTGTGTTGATAGGAATGTCCAAAGATAACTATAGGTAAGGTAAAGGATCACTCTTCATTTAAGAAAAAAAGAATGAATTTTCCTTTTCCAGCCTTTTTCTCGAGTGCCACTGCTCCATCCAGGCAGATGGAACAGTAAATGCAAATCATTAAAAAAGTATAAGCACTGACATCTAGGAGCAGTAATACAGGACACATCTCAAAATACACTTTTTTCTTGAAGTGCTTTTTGAATGAACAGCAATCAGTCTTGGTAGGGTAAGTTGGTCATTTGTTTATCTGACAGGTGTAACGAGTTACCTTATATCAGGGCTGCTAATAACTGATAGTCACCAGTTCAGATTGGAAACTCTTAGCTTATTAACAAGTTAACTCATCCATTAGATCATGCAGCAAATGTTTATTGACTGTCTAATGTATGCCAGGCAACATTGAAGGCCCTAAACATGCAGAAACTAAAGAGACATTCAGAATCTCTGCTTGAAAGAACTTAACAGTATAGTGTGCATGAGAGGTAAGTCGAAGATATTCCAGATGAAGATTGTTGCTGTTAGTACACTATGACAGGGACAAGGGAGATGATAGCCGTGGGAAACTGTGTTGAAGAGTTGACAGTGTGCTGACAGTTAAATGATGCCCACTATCAAGTTAGAAGGAAGAGCATTATTAAAGGCAGGGAAAACTGCCTTGCCTACTTTGGTGAACAGATTGAAGACTTTTGTGGTTGGAACATCGTAAGAATCAAGACAGGGTGGGAGATGAGTTTTAAAGGTGTTAGAATGAGGTATGTACAAATAGTAAAGGAATATAATGAGAGTGAAATGCAGATTATTATCATTGTTCTTGAGGAATATATTTAAAAACTCAACAGAATAATTTGTAATCCCCCACCACAAGCACAGTAAAATGTTGCCTTGCATAATTCTCAAATGGGAGAATAAATTTTCATGTGGCAAAGAAAGGCCTGTTTTTTTTCTTCTCACCTCATATACACTGATGTAATGGTTTTGCTTGGCAACGGCAACATTTCATAACAGATTCAGCATTCAGCACAGAAAAAAAAATGTGAGTGAATTGATTAAATCACCACTTTCCAAAGTGTTTTCCATAAAAAGTGATTCTGTGGCCAACTGTCATGGTAGTATTAAATGGATTTAAAAACATAAAACTGAAAATTTACTATGTCAAGTTCTGAGACCTTTACAGTGACTGTCCAAAGAGGGGTGAATAAAATGTCTTGCATTTCCCAGACTTTTGATATAAAAAACAGAAATACTACCCCCTCAGTATTGTGTGTGTGGTTGAGTCCAGCTTGATATTCATACCCAGAGTGGTTTGCCCTGGCTTACAGGAAGTGAATAGATGAGCTGTACAGCCTACTAAATCAACCATAATGTTCACTTCCCTTGTGATTTAAAAAAAAAAAGTGTGTGTGTGTTTTAAGGGAAAGGACTGTAGTAAGGAGAATACTGGTAAAGATCACTCTCGTTAAAAGGTGGTTGTTTCTTAAACAGTTATAAACTGAAGACATCCTGCAGGGGCGGCGGAGGAAGGGAGGGAGGGAGGAGCACAGGGCACTGTGGTGATGGTGCACAGGTGAACTGATGAAGGAAATTATGGAAACTACACCTGAGGAGGGGAAGCAAACATTGTTTAAAAATGAACAATAATGTAGAACATATGTAAGGGGGGAGAAAGGCGGAATTCTCTGCATATGGCACAGCATTAGGTAGAGCCCTTTTTTAATTAATATTTTATATAATTCTTACATCATTTTTCGTTTTTGCACAATGTATGCATTTTCAGAGCCCTTTTCTTTCTAAGTTTTTTAATGTATGGAGATGCAGACTTAAGGCTATTTTTTTTTTTTTTTGCCCTTTTTGTTTGTTTGTTTCACATTATCTTTCCCATCGCTGTTTCAGTGTTTCCACTATAGTTCAGACTATTTCTGAGAGAAACAGAGAGGCTGAGAGAAAGACAGCCTTGGGGAGTAGGATGAGAATAGATCTGTAATTAGACAGATTTGAGTCTGATTTTAAATATATGTGACTTGGAGCAAGTTAGTTCATCTCTCTGAGTCTTCTTTAGGTGAAATGGTTATTAAGTGAAATAATATGAAATACATAAAACATCTAGCACTGCCTGGTTCATAGATGCAGCCCTCCCCCCATTTGAAAACCCTCCTAACAGATCTTTCTTTTGCTCTTCGTCAACTCCATTCTGCAAACTTTCCAGCCCAAAGTTCCCTATATGCCACTTCATTACGTGCCCATTTTTGAAAATGTGGTTGCTTCCTTTTGTACATTAAATCATGGAACTTTTCAGCTAAATATTGAGGAACCTGTATGATCTGATCACATCCTCCAAGTTCACGGTTTTCCAAAGCATCTATGCACTCTTTCCATCACCGTTACTTGCTCACACTATTTTTGTCAGATGGATCCTCATTCTCCTCTGCCTATCCAAATCTATGTATCATTTAAGTTCAACTCAAAACTCACATCCCTTGTTTGCATTTCAGTTGCTGTCTTGAATTTATTTGATGCTTTTACTCCAGGGGATAAATGCATTTCAGAATTAAGGATTTTGGGTTTTCTGCAGAATGGATTTTTGCATATACTGTGGATTATGCAACATCCCTGATGAGGCTTAGGGTAGCATCCTGCAATCAAATAAATTAGTATTTCTTTAATGAAACAAATTTACATACTGAGATAAAGACTGTTTATAGTCTCAAGTAGCTGGGTCTAGGTTTTGCTGCCAAATCAGTTTGCTAAAACCTTGTTTAAAAAAAAAAAATGGGGCCTTCCTGGGTGGCGCAGCGGTTGAACCCGTAGCCTGTGCAGCGCCAGTTCCATCCCCGGCTGCCCACAAGGGTCCCACATGGCACAAGAGACCTCTCCTGTCTCCCCGCTGCTCCCCTCAGCAGTGTATTTCATCAGTCTGCCTGTTCTGCTCCCCGCTCTGGCTCTGGTGAGTTCTCTCTCCCTCCGCCCTCCGGCGCTTCTGACTGTACCCAGTGCCTGTATAAATCAATCAATCAATCATTCAATCTTTTTTTTTTTTTTTAAGTGTTTAAAACACTTTCAGGTCTACAGATTTTTGGATTTCAAAATTGCAGGAAAGAGATTTAGGCCTGTAGTTAGCATTTCAATTATGTCTTCTCTTCCAAACTACTATACCTACTATATAAGCTCCTTTGAGAGCAGGAACTTGATTGCCTTTTGTCATAAGCATTTTAAAAATACAATAGCATTTTAATAACTTTCTGGCTGTAAATGTAATATATGTAAGCAGTTGTAGGGTATTAGAAAAATATCACATAAAGAGAATAAAAATACTTCATATCCATCACCTAGACATTACTACTACTTACATTTTGGGGGATACTTTCATTTTTTGTCTATACATTTGGGTGTACTTTTTTAACATAATTTTTAAAATT